GTGTTTATTCTCTTACAGTAAGAATTCATCAATTTTTTTGAGGAATTTATTTGAGATTTTCTGGTTTTTGTTAATTGTGCAATAGAAAAACAATCATTAATTTTCTAAATAGTCATTAGAATAGTCGACTATTCGATAAAATAATCGTCAGAATAATCGTTTTAAAAATAATCGTTTACCCCCAGCCCTATCTTTTAACGAGGCATAGTTAGCTTTAACACTTCTCGACAAGCCATTATAAACCTCTCGAGCCTTGTCAGACAAAAGAAGACACATAAACTTTAATCTAAGGGGCTCATCCCAATTATTTACATTGGCTGCCATTTCAAATTGTTCAGCCCAGTCTGCCCATTCACGGCCAACACCAGAAAAACTTTCAGGCATAAAAATCGGCCGAGCCTCTGCACTCACGGGCTGGCTCAAAGCTCAGCTTGACGAGGGAGGTGTGTTATTTTCACGTTCTGACATTCTGGATTGCAGTATCCCACTTCTGACACCAGTGTAATATAAGTTTCAGTGAGAGCACGGGCAGAATATCTTACCCTCCAGTCAGAACCCAAAAACAGCACCAGTAGGCAGCATCTTATCCAAAATATCCTTTATTACCACAATCAACGATAAAACACTATGGCCGAGTTCTTTCACAATAAAATGAGCTGAACAGCATAAATAAAATCAAGTAGCGGGTACTTAGCTGGCCCAGTCGATGCGACCCCGTCCCTGGGGTCTGAGCTTCTGACACTGTCCAATGCCCCGGGACTTAGCTTGCGAGGACGGTGGTTAAGTCCACGGCTCAAGTCCGGCTGCCAGAGTTGGTGGCGGCAGATGTCAGCGTGGTCTCGGCACCCAACTACGCCCAGCCCTCGCTACCTAAAGAAGGCGTCAAGCCTCCCCTCCTAATGCTGGAACACTGTCCACCTACTCAGCTATCTTCATCGCCGGCAGTCCTAACCAACTGCGAACGATCCCACCCCCCAGAACCGGGTGCCACAATGACAGGTCGACCACACACATACCTTGGTAGATCCGCCACCCTTTTCTCCTCTCCGGCCTCATTATGCGTAACAAGGGCCAGCCAGTGTCCAGTCACCACGCCCCCAGAATCTGGCATCTCCCGTCTTCTGTCTTCCACACAACTTAAGCCTAATAATGATTAGATATGTCTTAAAAGTGTAAATTCTCTGTAGTTTTCCCTGCTGCTTTTCTTTAAACTGAACAAAACCAGTGTTCAAGACTCAAGACAACTTTATTAGTCCCCGAGGGGCAATTCGAGACAGCATTGTGAAGCAGCCGGCACTAAAATCTCAAAATTCTGAAAACACAACCAATTTACACATTCGTAAAACCCATAAAACCTATGTACGCATTCATGCCATAACAGCAGTTCTGCAGGTTATATGTTTGTTTTACATTTTTCAATTTAAAAAAAAACAAACTTTTTTTATCTGTTACAGGTCAGCATGCACTGTGCTGCACATCTGCCTCTGTGCTGGTGAAGTTGTGGCCCTGGAGGATGAGTCTGAGGAAAATGTGTGTGGAGGAGGTCAGTGGTGCTCTGTCCTGGTGGAGGTACCAGCAGACCACCACTATTGTTAACAGGCAAGTCATTCATAGAGTTGTAACAGCTGTCGTCTGAGCCAGCCCAGCAGTCCCTGTACATGGACGATGGAGCGGACAGTGAGAGGAAGCGTCTCAAAGCTCTCTCTGCAGACCGTCCTGTATGATGTTCCTCTGGCCAGAAACGTCAAGCCATGGGTCTGCTCCAGCCCACCATCCACGTCTGGATCCTCCTGCAGCAGATCCAGCTGCACTGTTAAAGACTTCCTGCTCACTCAGTTTAAATAAATGATCCAGGAAGAGTCACTCAGGTTAATCCTGCTTTAACCATACATAACTGGTCCATATATGTTTTGATTTGTAAATAATTGTAACGTATTATAAATAATCTTGTCTCCTTACCATCTTTTCATTTTCTGTTCATGTAACATGTTCAAAAACATCTAATAAAATTGGTGATAAAATCAATGACCAGAAGTTATTAGTATTTGTTTTAATAAATGTGTTCAAATATCAAACAGCTAAATAACATTAACATGATGACAGTAGAAGGCCTCTCTCCCAGGATGACCAACAGGTAAAGCCTCTCCTGACCCTGGACACCTGCAGTCCTACAGAGAAAATCAGAGACCACAGGTGACAAAAAGGCAATAAACACATTTTTACATTTATCCACATGAGAAGATAGAAATTATATTCTTCACACAAACTATTTTTACTTCATTAAAACGTGTCCGCTGTGTAAATCCCTGAATATAAAACTATTTTTCGCAGCAGAACACAGAACTACTGTAGTCGTGTAAACAGCTTCACTCTTCACCTCTAAGCTTAATAAAAACGTTCTGTTGTCCCTAAAACAAATGACAAGTTTCATTCGCCACACACACACACATACACACACATGGGAATAACTACGGGGCCCGCGATACAAACTCGTTCTGGCTAATTTCTGCCTAAAATGTAATTTAAAAAACAAATATACAAACAAAAAATGTCTATAAACAGAACCGATTTAAGCTTTCTAGGTTTCTACGGCTAGTTTTTAACAAACTTACTTAAAACATCGTAGCTCTCCCTATTTTCTCTTTCTGTTGAAAATCCGCATGCTGGGATAGCCTTGTTCTGTTGCAGAGAAATCCAGGAAAACCAAACAATGATGAAGGATTAATCAATGGTGTTGCATGTCACACCCACTGGCTTGACTGACGGACTGAGACATTTTGCTGTAAAGTGTCATTATGAAATAAATCAGCCATGGGAAAAAACACTATGATGAAATAAAAGCTGTCTTTGTTAAAAAGACGTTATGTATTAAAAACGGAATGAATTAAATAAAAATGGCTCAATATTAATTTGGATTATTATGAAATAATGACTTTTGAAAACAACTTTATTTTAATAAAGACATTTTAAAAGAAGAATGAAAAATATTTCATAATATTGAGCTTAAATTTTACATAACATTTTGTTATTTTATCATTTCATTGTCAGATTACATGATTGTCTAGTATTTCTTCATGAAGATATTTATTCATAATGTCTTATTTATTCATTGAATTTTGAATACTGAGTTCCATAGTCGAGAAACTTGCTGCTTATCTGCAATCTTCAAAGCTGTATTGTCATGTTAAGAACAAATGTCCTTTACCCGTCGTCATAATGAGCCTCGTTTTGATTATGGGGAATCCCCCAAAGCCCTGCCCCCATAGTGTCAACAATCCCAGAAGGAGACTGGTCTCACACAACTACAGGCAGAGCCTGTGGGACCACTGTGGTGTCCTGGAGCGGGCCAACATCAAAGGCCTTCATCCAGCAAAGCCTGAGGCAAAGATCCTCCAGCAGCTCTGACTGACAGAAGAGATGCAAAACGATTTCAAGAAGCCGACACAATAACCTCAGGATGGACTTATTGCTTTTGTTTTGAATCTGTCTCCTTTTCAGTTTTAAAGGGGCATTATGGAAGTTTGACAGCCAAAACATGTATAGAAATAATACATTTCTTCTTAATACATTATCCTGCAATGCCCTGGTCCTGTAGAATGAGACCTGGCATTTTTACTGTGATTGCCTGTTTTTCTGTAAAATCACAGAAAAAGAGAGCTGCTCGGGTCGAGCAGGCTGCTTCATGCGCGTTCACGCCATTGGTTCACGCTCAGGCATAGCCCGTAGCTTTTGCTATCAGTAGCTTTAGCAGCAGAGAGTGAGGTAGTGCCAACTCAGCAACTTTGTCCTAACGCCTAGTGATGAACCTAGCTACATTTCTGAGGACCCTTAGCTACTTTCTGTAGAACTTTCTTCTAGATATTTCCTGCAAATTAGCAACAAAATAGCCATTTTCGCTCCGAACCGTTCTTTGAACGTTGTTTCAGCTGTCATCAACGATATAAAAGTTACAGATACAAAAGATGTTACTAGTGCATTAGCTCATCTAGTTAGTCGTTGGACTCTTGTGCAGAAGATCTGGGTTTCATTCTGGATGTAAACATTTAGAATTTATTTTTTACATTAATGATATATTTTTTACAGTAAGATGCCCAAATTTTTATTTGAGACTCGCCGAGCGGCATTTAATTCACAGATAAAAAAGATGTGGGTTCAACTTTCATTTTGGAACAATTTTTCAAGCAAGGGAAGGGAATGATCTGAGCATGCAGGAGGACTGACCCATCATAAACCTTTGTCATTAGCTGTGCATTCTCCTGTCCTCTGTCCTCCGGGCCACACACACAGAGGACTGTCTCAGCTGTTATTTTCGTTAAGGAGTGTGCACGTACAGCATGTGCGCCTCGTGCAGGAGCCTACAATTGAAGCTGCCGTTACGCTTTTGGCCTGAGGGGGCAATCGCAAGCACACAAATTCAAAACTCCGTAAAGTCCCTTTAATTTCAAGAACTTTAAAGTTACAGTCTGGCAAAAACAAACCCAGCAAAACTGATTTCTAGATCTTTTCATGCTGGATTTTGAAATAACTGGCCGTGATTGTAATACATTAAAAAAATTAACAGCTATGTTTTACCACATAGTATATGACATTCTCAAAATAATTCTATAGAATCTAATAGAAATGCATAAAACTGCAAATAAATATTGTGTTAATATGTTGGTATTTAAATTTAGCTACAGGGCATATTTTGACAGAGGCTGAATGGAAGTGGTCTACCAATGAGGCTCCAGGCACCGACGCCCATGGGGAGGCAGGTTGACATAGACACAATGTTTAGCTGCTGCCCGTGGTTCCCCTGTGGTATGAACAGTCCTTGCCAGCAAATGAGCTGGTGATAAGCCTTTTTACCAGTTCAGAACAACTGGGGAAACATGGTCAGACAGCTGAAACAATACAAAACCATTGTACCTCTAAATTATTTTCAGTGAGCATGTTTGATCTACTATTAGTAGCATTTCTATCATACTTTAGGCAGCGAAGAATAAAGAAGACACAAAATGTCAAAATGCGCTTGTTTTTATTTTCATTTCAACTTTTATTTCAGACTACTCATTACTTATTCAGTAGATCAGGTTTTAGTGGCATTTGTAGAGCAGGTTGATCCTTTTGATGTCCCAGCTGGACAACCCCATCCTCTGACCGATTGGGGTGTTGGGGTTGGGGATGGGGGTGATGGTGTACTTTCCGTAGGCGATGGAGAAAGCATCTCTTCCGTACTGCATGATGGAGCTGTAGTCGTAGGGAGTGTTCAGGTTGTTGGTGTCTGCTTTGTAGAAGTTGTAAGCACTGCCTGGTGTGATGTTCTGCCAGCTGATCTTGACGTAGCGGTCCCGGTCACTCCTGACCTGCTCGTGCTGGAAGCCCAGAGCGTGGTTCATCTCATGCTGGGCGATTCCACCGTAGATGCAGCCAGCCCTGTTGAGAGACAGCTCCTGCACCCCTCCCACTCTTCCCAGAGAGGAGTAGCATCCACCTTTATTCACGATGTAGATATAGTCTCTCTCATTGGTACGAGGGACGTAGCGGATGCAGGTAGAGCGACCAAAGGCATTTGCAGCACCCTGGATTATCTGTTTCTCATAAAAGTTGAAGTCCTTGCTGATGACGTAGGGTACCTTCACTAAGCCATCTGGGCCTTTTCTCCACAGGCATTGGGCGTAGAAACACTTGATGGCATTTCTGTGTTTGGGAACCACCAGGTCTCCCTCAATCAGATTTTCATCAGAACCTTTATTGGCTCTCAGAATCCTGGTGCTAATGTCCACATGTTCTGTTTCTCTATGTTTGACCCCATCATGGACTTTGTCATCATCTAGGTGTCCTTTATTCTCTTGTTCATCATCTTGGTCTCCTTTATTCTCTTGTTCATCATCTTGGTCTCCTTTATTCTCTTGGTCATCATCTTGTTCATCATCTTGTTCATCATCTTGCTCATCATCTAGGTGTCCTTTATTCTCTTGTTCATCATCTTGTTCATCATCTTGTTCATCATCTAGATGTCCTTTATTCTCTTGTTCATCATCTTGGTCATCATCTTGTTCATCATCTAGGTGTCCTTTATTCTCTTGTTCATCATCTTGCTCATCATCTTGTTCATCATCTAGGTGTCCTTTATTCTCTTGTTCATCATCTTGGTCATCATCTAGATGTCCTTTATTCTCTTGTTCATCATCTTGTTCATCATCTTGCTCATCATCTTGTTCATCATCTAGATGTCCTTTATTCTCTTGTTCATCATCTTGGTCATCATCTTGTTCATCATCTAGGTGTCCTTTATTCTCTTGTTCATCATCTTGTTCATCATCTTGCTCATCATCTTGTTCATCATCTTGTTCATCATCTAGATGTTCTTTATTCTCTTGTTCATCATCTTGGTCATCATCTTGTTCATCATCTTGTTCATCATCTAGGTGTCCTTTATTCTCTTGTTCATCATCTTGGTTATCATCTTGTTCATCATCTAGATGTCCTTTATTCTCTTGTTCATCATCTTGTTCATCATCTAGATGTCCTTTCTCTTGTTCATCATCTTGGTCATCATCTTGTTCATCATCTAGGTGTCCTTTATTCTCTTGTTCATCATCTTGGTCTCCTTTATTCTCTTGTTCATCTTCTTGTTCATCATCTTGATCATCATCTTGTTCATCATCTAGGTGTCCTTTATTCTCTTGTTCATCTTCTTGTTCATCATCTTGCTCATCATCTTGTTCATCATCTAGGTGTCCTATATTCTCTTGTTCATCTTCTTGTTCATCATCTTGATCATCATCTTGTTCATCATCTTGTTCATCATCTAGGTGTCCTTTATTCTCTTGTTCATCTTCTTGTTCATCATCTTGATCATCATCTTGTTCATCATCTAGGTGTCCTTTATTCTCTTGTTCATCTTCTTGTTCATCATCTTGCTCATCATCTTGTTCATCATCTAGGTGTCCTATATTCTCTTGTTCATCTTCTTGTTCATCATCTTGGTCATCATCTAGGTGTCCTTTATTCTCTTGTTCATCTTCTTGTTCATCATCTTGTTCATCATCTAGGTGTCCTTTATTCTCTTGTTCATCTTCTTGTTCATCATCTTGGTCATCATCTTGTTCATCATCTTGTTCATCATCTTGTTCATCATCTAGCTGTCCTTTATTCTCTTGTTCATCATCGTGTTCATCATCTAGGTGTCCTTTATTCTCTTGTTCATCTTCTTGTTCATCATCTTGCTCATCATCTTGTTCATCATCTAGGTGTCCTTTATTCTCTTGTTCATCATCTTGGTCATCATCTTGTTCCTCATCTTGTTCATCATCTAGGTGTCCTTTATTCTCTTGTTCATCATCTTGGTCATCATCTTGTTCATCATCTTGCTCATCATCTAGGTGTCCTTTATTCTCTTGTTCATCATCTTGGTCTCCTTTATTCTCTTGTTCATCATCTTGGTCATCATCTTGTTCATCATCTTGGTCTCCTTTATTCTCTTGTTCATCATCTTGGTCATCATCTTGTTCATCATCTAGGTGTCCTTTATTCTCTTGTTCATCATCTTGGTCATCATCTTGTTCATCATCTAGGTCTCCTTTATTCTCTTGTTCATCGTCTTGTTCATCATCTTTGTCATCATCTTGTTCATCATCTTTGTCATCATCTTGTTCATCATCTACGTGTCCTTTATTCTCTTGGTCATCATCTTGTTCATCATCTATGTCTCCATTATTCTCTTGTTCATCATCTTGGTGTCCTTTATTCTCTTGTTCATCTTCTTGTTCATCATCTTGGTCATCATCTTGTTCATCATCTTGTTCATCATCTAGGTCTCCTTTATTCTCTTGTTCATCTTCTTGTTCATCATCTTGTTCATCATCTTGGTCTCCTTTATTCTCTTGTTCATCATCTTGTTCATCATCTAGGTCTCCTTTAATCTCTCTTTCTCCATCTGGTTTGTCATCTAGGTCTCCTTTATACTCTCTGTCTCTATCTTTGTCTCTTTCTTCATGGAGAGGAAGAGCATGAGAGAGGCCAAGCAAGAGCAGCAGCAGCAGGCTGGCAGAGGGAGACATCTCTAGGGTCCCTTTGGAGGCTGAGGAGCGTCTGTAGAGCTGCTGAGGAGAAACCCTTGAAGCAGGATGCCTGACTCCAGCCAGTCCAAGGTCTTTATACTGTCCAGTACAGGTGTGTCCGTAGCAGGATTATGGGTTGGGGTCCGCACTTCTGAGACCTAAAACAAACCTCCTTAGGGAGGACTCTGAAGACAAACCTGCTTTGTAAACATGGTTTGTTATGTCTGGCTGTTGAATAGTCTTTAGGAAAAAAAAGACCTTAAAATAAGCCACAGGTAGGCAACACGCTGAAATGTTCTTTCTAAAGGTGAAAAGACAAACCTGCTTTCTAAACAACATCCAATCTTCTCTCATTCTTTGTGCTCAGTTGCCCTTTAACACCATTACTAGTTTTATCTCAATAACGACTTCTTCATCAAAAGAGAAATTTTGCTGAACCTTAATAGTTCTCATTCTTTCTCCGATGACCCTTGTAACAGAAGGCTCCCGTGCTCCTCACATGAAGAGCTGTTGAAGTCGTGTCCCTTTGTGAGGATGATCGACGGCCCATTGAATCTCGTGCATATGTAGAGGCTGGTAATAGGTTCCTGTGGGACGTACTGCTGTAGCTCTGCTCCTCAAAACATGAATTCTAAATTGGAAGAAAAAGTTCACGTCATTTTACATCATGTCACATTTTCCTCCATCAAGAACTCCAGGTAACTTTCGTGACTGAGAACCAATGCCTTTGTTGAACCCCGAACGTCCTGCTGTAGATATTTCCTGGAGCACAGAGCATTGTGGGTACTTACTGGCGTTGAGCATTGTTTTGCTCTCCTGTCGTGGAAATATGAGCTCTAATTTGTTCAGTTTAATTAGCACATATGATCCAATCATCTCGTCCTTGAATCCCAGGCTTGTAAAAAGTGTAAAGATGAATTGTGAAAAGAATGGGTGTTTTTTTTCTCTCTCATATGTAAACCTCCCCCCCCCCCCCCCCCCCTCTGCACACACACATACACACATACACACACCCTCTCAATCTCATCAGCCACCGTGATTAAGGTTTGGCATTGGGGATTGTGCCGTTTTGGGGAGAGATATTTCAGCTGCATTTCTGACACTCTGAAAGGAGAGGAAGATAAAGGAGGCGTCGGGGAAAAAAGTCCTTCCCGTTGTGTGAGTTTTAGAGAGGGCCTTGAACCCTGCCATTCATGCCTTTCTCTCCATCAGCTGAGTCCAATTGCCAGTGAGGACAGGAGACCCCAGGCCTGATCGTTCCTTATCCTCTTTAGTGCTTTCAGGCGAGTGAAAGGCGAGCTTCTGCTTTTGATCTTTTCTCTGATTTGCTTTTTCTTCTCTGTCATCCCTACCATCCTCTCCTCAGGAGTGACACCAGCTCCTTTCACTGCCTGCCCCCATCTCCATCTGCCCAAAATAATGACCAAGGCCCAGGCTTTATTAAGCAGAGGTGGAGAAGGGAGGTCAGCACGGGGAGAGGGAGTACCCCCATTCCAAATCTACTCCGATGCCTCTGTGTGTTCCCTCCCAAATTCATCTCTTTGCCGTTTTCCTGGCCTTGGGCAGAGAAAAATTCCATTCTTCATTGGAACGTGAAGGCCCGTCCTTTCCCAGCGGCAGCGCTACAATAAGACCCCGCGCTGCCGGAGACGATGAAGGCTGTGTGATCTCTGAGCCAGTCTCGGGAATAGACGATGCCTTGCCTACCCGTTCCAAGGGAGGGTGGACTACTGGTCATTGTTGACAGCTAATGGACAGGGTCCATCCACTCGCAGCCTCCCCATTACCCCCCCCCCCCCCCCCCCCCCCCGACTGTGTCAATCGAAGTGTCTTAATAACAGCTCTCAGGCTGAAGCCCTGCTGGACTTCTATGGAGAAGAGGAGCAGTCTGTTTGCAGATGAAGATCATTCCACTCAGAAATCCCTTAAGCTAACACTGAGCAGTGTGTGTGTGTGTGTGTGTGTGTGTGTCAGAATTAGCATTAAAACACAACAGATTCTCACTGATGATGATGATGATGATGATGATGATGACCAAGATAAAAATCTTTTTTTAAATATTTCAACGTTTTTTTGGGAACGTTGGTCTCCAGAGTCGTGAGCCTTTTTGGTGGGAAGTGTTTAATTTCCTTCAGCTTTTGAGGACTGGTAGGACCTGATGGACATTTAAAAAAAACAAGCAAGTTTTTTTTATATTTAGTTCAAAATTAAATGTTGAAAAACTAAAAAATCTCCTAAAATGAATAACTAAAGATAAAACAGTTTAAATTTGAACCAGTCTCCCTAAATGTTAAAACTTGATCAGAGTTAAACAGAATAAATGTCATAGAGTAAGAAGCTGATGTTCTCTTTAGAGGCTAAAAGCAATGCAGTTATCCACATCACAGAGGGACAGCAGAAGGTATAAATAATAATTTACATAATATTTGACTGTTTCCTACGAGGTTACACCCTCCTACTGCTTCATGAAAAATATCCTCTTGTAGACAAAATCAATCAAAGCTAATTATACAGCAAGTGTATTTCAAAAAGCATTGAATCAGAAACCTTTAAGTGATTTAGGTCTCTGGGAGGAGGACAGAGAGGTGGAGATATGTTTGTCCTTGTCTTCTGGACAGATAAACACTCATAGCTTTTGTGCTTAACTGGACTTTTAACAGATTCAAAAGCACACACCGTCTTGTCTCTAAGCTGGTTTCAGATATCTTTATTTATGTTTTCATTATCATGTGGAGATGTCTCTGCTGTACTTTATTATAGCACAAACCCATCTACTAATGATAACGACACTGGTTATTACACCTTGTTGCTGTTTGAGCTTAAAGTCTTCACCATGTCAACAGCATGTTAATCTGTTATTTCAGACAAAAGAAATGTTATAATGAACAAATAAATATATTTTTTTTATTATTTGTATGCATCAGTATCCCTCCACAGGGCCAGCAGGGACAGCAAATCTAAATTTTATTGCTGCCTCATTTAGATTTTGTAGTTATGAGAAAGTCAGAATGCTTTTACATTTATTTATTGCAGAAAATGATAAATAAATGTGTGCTGGTGTAAACACTTAATGTGTAACATTAATCTACTGATGCAGATTTGGGATTAAAAATAAGGATGAAAATCTGTTTATTACATCTGATATTAAATATTTAACTGTTAGACGTCCACCTCACAGTCCTGGACTTGGACCAGATGGCTCGTGCACATCACTATATAAGCTGCAGGGTGCATTCCATTTTCTTTCCACAGTCTGACTGTTTTTACTGTATTTCTACAATTTTACTTGTTTTTACTAACACAGTAGGCACGATGGCACCATGTGGCCCATCAGAGTTATTTCTAGTTTAACAAATGAGACAGTTCCATATTTCAGAGCCCAAAATCTCAGTTCAGATGCTTATTGGAGCCTGGTTTTACTGGCAGCATTTGTGCCGTAATAATCTACTCAGGAGAGGAAAGATGATGTGATATGCAAACAGGACAAATGATCCAGCTCAACTGCTGGCATCACTTCTCAGGGAACATCAGGAAAAGTCTCATCATAATCAGTGTTGGGCAAGTTACTTCAAAACTGTAATGCATTATTTATTACTTGTTACCCTCATTTTAAAGCAACTCATTACATTACAATATTACTGATTATAAAATGTAAGGCATTACACTACTTTTGCATTACTTTAAGTTACTTTCACCAAAACAACTTCAATATGAATCTGGTAATGTGACGCTCAGTGAGCTCATGACATATGTGGAAAGTGATGTGGTGTCTGAGCTAGGATTGCTGTTAAAAACAGTCAGATATAATAACAGTGCTTTAAAATGATTGTTTATTAAATAAAAGCAACAACAATCTGTACTCTCAGCAAGCTGCCATCTTATATTAACTGAGCAGGGAGTGAGGTGGTGGGGGCTCCAAGCCTATATTTGCCTTGGTCCCCAAATGCCTTGATACGGCCCTGGATGTGGGACTGACTTCTGAGGTGATCTGATTCTATCACATGTATAAATATTAAATGTTTATTTATTATTGCTTTTCACTGGTAAAAATGTGTATTGGGGATAAATCTACCTACTTTTTTTGTTTTCAAGCACTTTGTTTTGTTTTCTTGATTTTATGTGAATAATTTCCTGCCCTTTCCCTCTGACCTTCCTGCATGCTGCATGTTTTCTCCATCTTCCAGAAAAACTGTTTCCTAGATTTCCTGCTTTCTAACTAATCAGCCAAAGGGATCTACCGAACGCAAATAAATAAATAAAAAGCTTAATCGGCCCTGCGCTCCAGCAGCAATGAGTTGACATCATCGGGGCACAGATTATGAACTCAGCTGAAAATTACATGAAGTACCAGAGAATATGGGCTGATAGAAACGATCGCAAACGAATTACTTTGTTTTGGTGGAGCGATTTTGTGAATATAACAGCGGCCGCGCGCAGGACGCAGCTGGAGTATTTGAGCCGTTACCGCGGCGTCCTCTCTGCTCATAGAATCCCCGCAAAGCTGAGTCCATAAATGACGTCATATATGTGGATATTGGATCTTTTTTCAGGCTTTGAATTTTTAGGAAACCCATGTCTTGATTCTGGGTTTAAAAATGCACTGTAATCACCACGTTACTGACAATTGTACCGAGTAAATATTACCATTTTCTTTCCCTTTAATGCCTTACATTACCACATTACAGCAAAAAGCAATGCATTACAGTAATTAATTACTTTTGTACAGCGTTACTCCCAACACTGATCATAATTACGTTTAAGGGGTTTGGAGGAATTAAGCCGTTTGTAGAGACTCTCACCCTCCACTGTTTTTCCTCATGAGATGTTTCTGTTTCTGCTTCTCTCATGAGCGGCGAGCAGCTCATGGCAGAGTGTGATGGATTCTGGAGTGAAGGAGGAGGAGAGCGAAAGGGCAAAGTGTTAGGTCGGGCTGATGGAGATGTCAGCACCGCTTCAGTAATCTTGTGACGCCTCGGAGAGTGGTGGAAAAAAAACAGGCGTGGAAGGAGGAGAGTGGGACAGCTGAAAGACCAGCAGCTCGGTGACAGCAGAGGCAGAGACCACCCCAACA